GCGGATCTCCACCAAATTCGGGGGATCCCTTCAGCTCGAGGAGCCCTCTCGAGCGCCACTCTCCGCGTGTCGGTAGCCCCCCGGGATCACTTGATCGGACGGCGCCGGACCGCGAATTTAATCACCCGTAACTGCCGAACCCCGGGGGCTATCGATGCGGGGGTGGTCTCATTCGAAAGTGGGCCTCTAGTCGTACATTCGATTCGCGTTCGAGAGGGTTCCTCGAGCTGAAGGGATCCCCGAATTTGGTGCGAATTCGCCGCGTCGTTATGGAGATAATGGCCGTTGAAAGTTTCAATGGTTTTCCGTAGACTTAAGCTTTAAAGCGTTTCATCCAGGTGGCCAGTAGCAAACAATAGAGCGATAGAACAATACAAACCAAGTAATTACACCATTTCAAGCATTTTATCTGTGTTATATGTTCTGTAAAAAAAAATTCATATCGGCGGCATATTCGCCGATACCGATATATCAGGCTCATATCGGCCGATAATATCACAAAACGGTATATCGGTCGGGCTCTAGTGAAATCCACTGAAGGGAAAAAATCCGCCCAACAATGCAGGGAATGAGGAGAGGGTAGCATAGCATAATCTGTTTCCAGTTTTTGTATTGCATCACACAGTGGTCTGTAAAGTCATGACAGCATTGATAAAGCACAACTTGCTCACACCTCAAGCACTCACACAAATTAAAAGTTTCTAGTTCAACATACTTGCCTGTTCATCAAAAATTGCCTTTCACTTGCACCGGGAAAAATGTATTTAGTTTTGTTTAGTAACTTTCAGGAAGGTGTACTCGTTTTTTTGCAACACAACATTTGATCACTTTGATAAGAATTTTATTTTACTGAATAATGTTGACACCCTTCTTTGGTATCTGATCAGATTCTTATTGAAGAAATACTAGTGATACATAAAATGCATTATTTATTGTTATATTCCATTTAAATATAAATCTGATCCTGCGGTCTCTATAAAAATATAGAAGTCTCATATGCTCACTAAAGCTGCATTTATTTGATCTCAGTATTACTGTTTTTAATGTAATTTTGAAATATTATAACAATTTACAATGATTGGTTCTCTATTTGAATATTTTCAAATTAAATTTTCTTTTTTTTTAAAGGGGTCCTATTATGCTCTTTTACAAAGTCTTGATTTTGTTTTGGGGTGTACTAGAACAGACTCTCATACTAGGTTTTCACATATTTTACCTTATTACAACATCTCTCTCCCCAGTCTGGCACGAACGGCTCGAAAAGTTCCTGTATCAAATGAAGGCCCGCCTTCTGAAATGCGAAATGTGCTGTGATTGGTTAGCTGGGCCAGTGTGTGCTGTGATTGGTTAGCTGGGCCAGTGTGTGTTGTGATTGGTTAGCTGGGCCAGTGCGTGCTGTGATTGGTTAGCTGGGCCAGTGCGTGTTGTGATTGGCAGCACTCGGCGCCTGGTCGGGAAATGTCACGCCCCTTACCATAGCCGCCTGCGAGCTTCAGAGTAAATATTGTGTCAAAATCAAATCAGTTTGAGCGCGATTTAAACCCTGATTATTGTAATCACTCTAAGTTCGTCTACCTTGGGAAAGCTAGCGTGTCTCCGACATAGTGATGATAACACTCGCTGCCTTCTCTAGTGCAGCTCAACCAGGTCTCGTCCCAATCGTCGATCTTTGTGATATCACAAATCCCAGAAAATATGCGTTGTAGTTCAAACGAGTCGTTCGTTGTAGTTTTTGAAAAGTGATTTCTGTTAAATAAAATATCTCCTTTTGAAGTGGACTTTGAACTTTGTATCTTTGCAGATCTTTTTTATGCTCAAACAGCAACATTACAGACTAACTAAAGTTGAAAAAGTGAAAAAGCATAATAGGACCCCTTTAAATCCTTATTAGTGCTGTCAAACGATTAATCGCAACCCAAAATAAACGTTTTTTGTTTACATAATATATGTGTGTGTGACGTGAATATTTATTATATTTATCATGCATGTATATATTTCAGAAAATTTTTTAGTTTATATATTATATAATTATATTCATATATATATTATTATATTAAAAATATATATAATATTAGTTATATACATGTAAATATTTTCAAAATATAGACGTATGTGTGTGTATTTATATATACATAATAAGTATACACACTACACAGTGCACGCACACACATATTATGTACACAAAAACCTTTATTTTGGATGCCATTAATCGTTTGACAGCACTAATCCTTATATACTCTTATATATTTTTAAACAGCAGGAAAATCAGCATCCCTGATGGTTACAAGTTCAGTGCAACTAGATTTGTAATGTCACTGTCATTAAAGACTGAATCTGGTTACAAAACCAGAGCAGTGTTCTTTATAAACATGAGTCTTCCATGCAGCCTGTAATGATTTGTTCGAGGCTTTGTAACCGTTATCTCTCTGTCGCATCCCAGCCCAGTGCGGAGAGCATGGCGTCTCTGTGCCTGAGTCAGCAGCGCTGTGTGAAGGCCTCGATCGCGTCGCAGTGGCAGCTGGCTGAGGCGCAGAACCAGCTCTGCGGTTTGGAGCTCCACAGCTCTGAGTCTGTGGACCAGGAGCGCGCCCGAGCCCTGGCCTCCTCCGCGGAGCTCTCGCAGACCGAACAGGAGTGGAGACATAAAGAGACCATGCTGGGACGGAGCCCCACTCTGTGCCCCGAGGCCAGCCGAGATGTGTTTGACAAGGTATCATATCAGCACACTAGAAAAGTCTTATATTTATCAGAGCATTGAGCAGGATACAGACCACTGTGACTGTGATCTCAGCACTGAGCCTAAATATAAAACACACAGCAGCATTTCCCCTTTAGAGGCCTGTGATGTTTTGGAACGTGGCTAACAGCAAATATATTAATAAAATGAATATCTATACACTTATGTTAGTTACTTTCCTTTGAACAGCTATATATACAATACCATTCAAAAGTTTGGGGTCAGTAAGTATTACTTTTCATTCAGCGCTCAAATATTAAATTGATCAGTAAATCGATCATGTCAGTAGAGACATTTATAATATTTCTATATATGTATATGTACATATGTGAAATAAATGCTGTTCTTTTGAACTTTTTAATCATCAAAGAATTCTGGGAAAAGTATCAAATCTGTTTTCAACATTTATAATAATAAAAACATTTAATAATTGAGCACCAATAATAATTAAGCATCAAATCAACTTTCTGAAGGATCATGTGACTCTGAAGACTGGAGAATGATGCTGAAAATTCAGCTTTGATCACAGGAATAAATTACATTTAAAAATGTATTCAAATAGAAAAATTTAGTTTTTTAAATTGTAGTAATATTTCACAGTATTACTGTTTTTTATATTTGATCAGATAAATGCATTACAGAGACTTCTTTCAAAAGCAGTAAAAAAATCTTCTGGTAGTATAGACTTTTTAAATAGAGACTTCCACTCAGATATTAGTTCAAAACTGAATGTTTTTAATAATTATGTTTTTTGCAAACCAAACACTAGCATTATGCTGACTATCCTGGCCACTCTTTTCCCTATAATGAATGTGAATTAATAAGTCAGGAACTCAGGATATTGTTCAAAAATAGCTTGAAATGGCATCCCTGAACTATTTATTCGACAAAAGCATTCGTTCCTTCATTGTCAGTGGATAATAAGCTTACACAAAATAAATATTCTGTAACACATATTGTTTTACACATTATATTATAAGTGTACATGTGTAGATTGCTGATGGCCCTTTTCTCATTGTTTCCTAGAGTATCATAAACAGTTCACAGTCTTGGCCTAATGAATCCGATCACGATAAGAACATAAGCTTCGTCCAGCGTAATGAAGAACTCTTGAAACATTTTGGTAAGTCATGGAGCTTGACTTGTGTGTTTATTAGTGGAGATTGTTCATCTGAATTGAGGTTGTCCTCTCTGTTCTGATTGGACAGGTATGTTGAGGAGGTGGGATGATAGTCAGCGCTTTCTAGCAGAGTACCACCATCTCATCTGTGAAGAAACGGCCAATTACCTGATCCTGTGGTGCTTCCGTCTGCAGGCAGAGCAAGTGAGTGCATACAAGCTGTACTGTTTCTGCAGTATGTACTGTGTGCCTTCATGACCTATTACTGATCCTCATTGTCTGGGTCTTCTGCAGAAAGAGGCATTAATGGAGCAGGTGGCTCATCAGGCAGTCGTCATGCAGTTTATTCTGGAAATGGCCCGCAACACTCAGCAGGACCCACGAGGCTGTTTCCGTCAGTTCTTTCAGAAAGCCAAAGTAAGTGCAGACATCACCTTTAACCTCTGCTGCGCTTTTCCCAGTGCTGTTTAGGACGATGCATTACACATCTTTTACTGTACATGACTTATTCAGCCAGAGAGGTACAACAGCAAGTCCTCAAAGTTATTTTCAAAAATACACTACTGGTCAAAGGTTTGGAATAATTAAGGGCTTTTTATTTTTGAAGGAATGCTCATAGGGCTCAAGACTGCGACCATTTTTTCTGCCGGTGCGATTACATTTTGTGAGCGGCTGCACTGGCGCGACCACCGCGTTGTTCAACTCGTAAGCGCTGCCGTTTCTGTTGAATATGAGAAACATCAAATGGCCTCGAAACCAAACTGGTCTGCGCTGCGCAGGTCAAACGTAGCACAGACCGTTTATCAGCTCGGACCGCAACGCAAACAAACTTGTCTGAGCTCAGAATAGCTTTACTCAGGAACCAATATTGGTTTTGCGACACTGTTGCTGCTAGGGCTGGGAAAATAAAACGATGCATCGCGAATCGAGAAATGATTCCGCATCAATTCTGAGATTTTCCGAAGGCATCGCGATTCTTTCTCGAGTCGATTCTGAGCTTAGTTTTGAACAGCAGATGGCGCTGCATGCTTTAGAAACAGCCGTACTCTGCTTGTTTCCAAATCCTTACACACACTTGAACCTAAAATAATCATTCATAAAATTTGAAAAGGTTGAAGCGAATTACAAGGGTGTTCACAGTGGGCTGTGTTTACATTAATCTGCCGTCATAAAAGCATTCTGAGCCGAGGTGAAATTCCAGACTCAGCCGAACGCACAAGCGCTCTTCTTCGTGAGCATTTGAGTGTGCGGATAAAAACTAGAGTTGAGCTCCATCTGCTGTTAAAACCTAAGCTCAGAAGCGATTCCAGAGAGAATCGCGATGCATTCGGAAGATCTCAGAATCCATCTACGCATCGATTCTGCATCGATTTATTGTCACAGCCCTGATTGCTGCACAGATCCAGTGAGAAGCGTTTGAATGCGCCGCACAGTAAATAAGGTTGTTGCGAGATCTAGCAAAGTCCCTTTAAGGCAAGTCATGTCACTCGGCGGCCATCTTTGAAACACCTCTCGGGCATGCAAGTGCAGCTCCTATCTCTTTGAATGGGAAACAACAAATTCTCCAAAACTGGTCACCAAGCTTACAATTAAATTTCATATTTGAAATCACCAGTGAAATCTGACAACAACTGTATCATAAATGTTGCTTATTACGCTCAAATAGCGTTAAAAAAGCTTGTTTATAGCAACCGGGACTTCTAACGGCAGCTGCAGTGATGCGCTGACTTTACCGATTAGAGATTGGCTCTTTTGCTCAGAAGGCGGGGCTTCGTTCGATAGAGCGGCCATATTGAGCGTTGCATTTCTCCCCATTCAAAGCACTTCTTGGGTATTCTATAGTCTTTGGGTGTAGTGAGAATCATTCAAATTGTGCTCAGAATTCTCTGTTATAAACAGCACTGACGTACGGCAGAAAACCAGAAGTATTAATGCTAACTGTGACCATGGTGTTGTGGCAGAAATAGTCAAATGTTATTACATTATTCATTTCAGGGTTTGTACAACCTTTGTCACCTTTTCAGTGACGTAACTATTTCCAGCACTTCAAAGCTCTAAAATGATCCAATTTGAATGTTATTTTTAATAACCAAAATATACTTTGCGATAAACAAACGCTTATGTAAAATTGAAACATACATAAACTAACCATTATAACCAGTAGATGGCAGCAGAGGAGCACTTCTTGGCTTATTAGTCATTCATTTCTACTTTTTGCTTTGTATTTTGAAATGATAAAATCACATTATAAAAAAAATCAAATCAAGAAATCAGATTTTTTTTTCTCGAGTTTTACACTTTTTTTGTGTATGAAGTAAGAAAAGTCACAAAGTGCCTTGAAAAACTAACTTTTCTTAAAGTTGCGACTAAATCACACAATCACTGAAGTTGGTCAGTTCCATATAATACTATAGAAGAGCAATGGTACATTTAATAAGAGTGGAATATATAAATGTTCTGTATAAGAATTAGATTTTGCAGAAAATGTTACTGTTGTTAATAAAAGTACATGTTGTATGCTTCCCAACTCAAGCTTAGTGCTTTACTGTCAAATGTCTATAAACATGAAATAAACAAGAAATTAACATATAATATTATTTGTAACTGTACTTATTAATGCAAAACAATAGTAATTTTATGATTAAATGATCTATATTTTTAATACTCCCACACGCCATCCCCAGTGCTACCAGATGTGCTCCTGGCGCCACCGTCTGTAGGACACTGCTCTCAAATGTTCATCTGGAGCCCTGGCTCACCAAGCCTGCATTTGTTTGATCAAAAATACAATAAAAATAGTAACATTGTTAAATAATATTACAATTTTCAACTGTTTTCTATTGTGATGTTTTTTAAAATGTAATTTACTCATGTCATGCAAAGCTGAATTTTCAGCATCATTACTGCAGTCTTCAATGTCACATGATCCTCCAGAAATCATAATAATATGCTGATTTGCTGCTCATTTCTTATCAATTATTATTGGTGCTCAATTATTAATAATGATTCTTATTATCGATGTTGAAACCTGTTATTACTGCGTAATATTTTTGGAAGCTATTTTAAGGATTCTCTGAGATGAATATTGAAATATAATTTTTTTGTAACATTATTAATGGCAATATAATGAAAATAAATGTATTCATTTTTTAAAAGAAAAAAAACGTACCACTATTACTAGTTTACTATTCAACTTTTAAATGGTAGTGTATTGCGATTTCCACAGAACTATTAAGCAGCACAACTGTTTTCAGTATTGATAATAATAATAATAATAAATGTTTCTTGAGCAGCAGGTCATCATATCAGTATGATTTCTGATGCGAGTAATGTTGCTGAAAATTCAGCTTTTATCACAGGAATAAATTGCATTTTAACGCATTCAAATAGAAAAAAAGAATAGGAAAACTTTACAAATGTTCAAAATGGAAAAACTCTTACTGTGACGAGGCTGACGAGGCGTGAGACGTGTGGATCCATCTGCAAGCTTTTATTCAAGAGACGTGGTATAACAGGCAGGGTCAAACAATGGCAAACAGGTATATGGCGGGCAAAAACACAAGAATAGTCCTAGGGCTAGCGTAGGTCACCGATCGGCAGACAGAATCACAGGGGCGAGACGAGAGGGAAAACAGGAAAAGATCAGAAACCGCAAAAACAGGCAAGGCAAAACAAGAAAAACACAGAGACTCGGAATGGGGTACAGGCTAAACAATACTCAGCAGAGAAAGGTGGTTTGAGTGGGTGTTATATAGTGAGTGAGGTGATAAGAAACAGCTGTGTGCAATGAGTGCAATCAGTGCAGTGTGCAAACCGTGCAATGAATGATGGGATATGTAGTCCGGGGTGCTATGCAACAGTTTGTGTTGTGCGAGAGTCAATGTAAAGGAAAGGGTGACCTCTGATGGTGAATAAATGGAAGTCCATGGACCGAATTTGTGACACTTACATTGTAATAATATCTCACAATATTTTTGATCAGATAAATGCAGCCTTTCGTGTAGTCAGTCCGAGTGAGTGTGAGTGTTATGCAATAATGTCAGTGACCACTAGACAGAGACATGACATAACTGAAGTTCATATTCACACATTCATCCAAACCTCTTTCATATTTGCACTGAATGCATTTTGAATCATATTTATTCTGATTTGCTCTTCTTCTTTTTTAAGGCAGGGCAGGAGGGATACTTGGACGTCTTCCACACAGAACTCAACGACTTTAAGCAGAGAGTTAAAGAGTATTCCATGAAGTCAAAAGGAGAAACCCCAAAGGATACAGTGCACCAAAACACACCGGCAGGCTGTCGCCTCGACCCCAACGAGGTTTTGGAGTCTTTGCCACCGGTACGAAAGATTATTGAATCTCTGAAGCACATAATATATTTTAAAATGTCATTTATTCCTGTGAATTTTCAGCATCATTACTCCAGTCTTCAGTGTCACACGATCCTTCAGAAATCATTCTAATATGCTGATTTGCTGCTCAGGAAACATTTCAGAAATTATCAATGCTGAAAACAGTTGTGCTGCCTCATATTGTTTTGGACACTGAACAATTTTTTCTTTAAAAATTCAAAAGATCAGCATTTATTTGAAATAGAATTTATGACTATGAAAATGTCTTTACTGTCACTTTTGATCAATGTAATGTGTCCTTGCTGAATAAAAGTATACTTGTCTTTTCAACATTTCAACACTAGTGTAGCTAGTAACAAAATCTAAAATGAGTCTAATGTTGAATTTGCAGGAGCTGAAAACATGCATCCAGATGCAGGATATGCAGATTCTTCAGAACGTGCTGAGCAGCATGAACACGCAGGTAACGCTGCAGCTTTATGCTGTGAAACATCAGAACGTGTCAACCATTCTCAATCAGGTTCTGGTTTGTCTTTTTTTATTATTATTATTAGTGCTGACAAATGATTAATCGTGATTAATCGCATCCAAAATAAAAGTTTTTCTTCACATTATATATGTGTGTGTGTACTCTCTGTGTATGTTTATTTATGTATATAAATACACACACATACAGTATATCTTTTGAAAATATTTACATGTATATATATTTATATTATTATATTTTATATAAATGTTTAATATATAAACATAACATATTTTTCTTTAAATATATACATGCATGTGTTTGTATTTATATATACATAATAAATATACACCGTACATATATTATATTATATATATTATATAATATACATATATATATTACTCATATATTATGTAAACAAAAACTTTTATTTTGGATGCAATTAATCGCGATTAATCGTTTGACAGCACAAATTATTATTATTCATTTTGAATAATAAATGGTTCTTGGTTCCCAACCCTTCAAATCAGGTGCAGTGTTACAGCTTTAGGCCCCGATCACACCGAACGCATTTTTTAGGTCTGAAACTTTTTTTTGGTGACTTTTAAAAAAGAGCAGCTTGTTGCGTTTTTTTGTGTTGCTAGGCAACCACCAAATCAGCTGTCCTGTCAGTCTAAACAAAGGATTATAGCGCGAGCACTCTAAAATCTTTGGTTTTTGCTGTTAAGTAAGCTGTCATATTAGCAGAAACCTTCAAAAATACAGCTCCGGGTAACACTCGACAGACACCAAAAGTTTCTCCTCCATCATTGCCGTCTCCAGACTTTCTAAGCAACGGTAAACTTTCGTCATCACAATGAAAGGCCCGCCACAACTTCAGGCGCATCCTCCAAAAACGCGAGGCACCCGGGGCGCATAAACAGTGCCCAAAACGCACACTGCCAACAGAAAACAATTCAAAAAAGGCGCCTCTCACTGCAAAAAACGCGTTCTGTCTGATCGGGGCCTTAGGAAGCATGCAGCGTTGTCTGAAGTGTAACCAAAACATGATGGCGTGTTTCAGGGTCATTTTAGGGGTTAAGCACATTTTTCAGGTTCTTGAACACTTCCTCCATCACTTTCACTTGTCACCACAGAGAGTACATGCTCTGAACCTTACACAGACGAGCTGAATGTGAGCCAAGAGACACAGGAAGAATTGCATAATAGCTTTAATCTGCAACAGCATTGCATTCATCAGAATCCAGGCTGACCTATAATCCCTCTTCCTGCCCTGCAGATCTGCATAAGAGTGGATGTGCAGATTATAACAGGATAGATCACACAAATATTAAAAAATTCACCCTCATGTTGTTCCAAACCTGTATAACTCATTTTCTTCCATAGAGCACAAATTGAGATATTGTGTAGTATGTTCATGCTGCTCCTTTCCATATAATAAAAGTAATTGGGGACCAGGGACTTTCAAGCTCCAAAATGACACAAAGGCTCCATCAATGTAGACCAAACAACTCCTTACAGTACCATTAAAAGGTTAAGGGTCAGAAAAATTTAGTTCTTTTAGATTTTAGACTTGTTTGCATTAAAGTGACTGTAAAATCTTTATAGTTATTTAGTTATAGTATACTTTATAATTTTAACTGTTTTCATCATAATCAGAAATGTGACATGTGACACTGAAGACTGGAGTAATGATGCTGAAAATTCAGCTTTAGCATAATAAAAATTAATTACATTTTAAAATATATGAAATTTAAATTCTAATAATACTTCACAATGTTATGGTCCGTATTTTTGAGAACATTCTTTGATCAAAGAGACTAATTTTAAAAACATTTTAAAATATAATAGGATAAAGCTACACCTAAAAAAAACGTATTGCTAAAATTTGAAATGTGATTTTGGTCACCATTGACTTCCATTGTATGGAAAAGAGCAGCATAACAATTCTTCAAAGTTTCTTCTCATGTTTTGCATGCAAGGTAGAAACTCGTACAGGTTTGGACCAACACGAGTGAGTAAATGGTGACAGAATTGAAATTTTTGGGTGAACTATAAGCAGTTTTGATCATTGTACTGTTCAGTATACAGCTCACTTCCTGTTCCTCATACTGATCTCGTGTTCTTTTCCTGTTATTTATTAACATCCTCTTTCTCGCTCATAACAGGTGGCAGAATACCACGTGAAGCGTTGCTTGGAGGCAGGAATTTGGACGAATATACCACGAGCCTCCAAAGAAGAAAGTTCAGAAATGGACGAGTGGAGAATGATGGAGAGCTAGCAGACGAAACTTCACGAGGAAACCAGCTTTGGCTCGCAGGACAGGAAGAACAAGGCCTGTGCTCAGAGACTTTTGTTTTGTATCCGTGCCTGGATGTGTGCTGCACTTTATATTTGTTTAAAAGAGAAAGTATTTTAAAAGAGATTGGGAACTGTATTTTGAGGCACTTATATTTTTGTGCACATTTCTGTTGCTAACTTCTTCTGTTTTAGCATTTTGAGAAACGTTTAGGAAAGCGGTACGTGCTGGAGTGCAAAGGAAAACCCTCATAACCCTTCACAAGGAGGGTAAGCCACAAACATTCATTGCCAAAGAAGCTGACTGTTCACAGAGTGCTGTATCCAAGCATGTTAACAGAAAGTTGAGTGGAAGGAAAAAGTGTGTTTAAATCAAGCTTTTTTCTCATGTTCTTTTTGTTGTTCTCCGCCGTTGGATTGTAATCTACAGTATCCACTGAACATTCAGACTCCAGCTGCTCTCTGGGAACTGTTTCATGTGTCATCTGTGCATGGACACGGCAGATAACAGTCGGCTTCCTGCAGATAGACAAACAACACTAAGGCGAAGCAGGACCTCCCACTTTGCTATCTTCACGATGGAAATGAGACCTTTGCAAAAAGTTCAAGTAGTACAACATGAAAACCAGCAATATAATATTGTTACCTTCAGTTATAATGAAAGAGATTCACGTTCACTATCAAAATGTAAATCGGATGCTAAAGGCACTGGGGCTGTTGAGTTTGATATGATGTCAAAAGTCACAAATTGGGATGGCTCACCCAAAAAAAAAACATTTCTCAATCTTCGGTTGCTCCAAACCTGTTTGACTTGATGTTGAACACAAACATTTTTTATTCATACAATGACGGTCAATGGCATCCAATCAATGTTGTTTTGGACCCCATTGACTTTCTTTCATTATATGGTCAAAAACAAGTAATGTTCTTCTAAATGTCTCTTCTTGCATTTTCCATAGAAGAAAGAAAGCGATGCATGTTTGGATGATGACCCATCCCAACAAATAAGACTTTCAGAGATGCCATTTTGCCTCGCCATCAACCTGACTTGTATTGATTGCGGTAATTGCATTGAAACACGGCCGATGCTGTTTGCTTATCGCATCCAGCTCTACAGCATATATAAGAGCATATACAGCAAACCACGATTTGTGTAATATTAAATGATGTCTGTGATGACATTGTGCAAATCTTTACAAGCAGATCGAAATCCTCAATTAAATCTTTAGACCACCAGTATTGCTGACTGATTGGAGTCTTTAATTTTGCCGTTTATTTTGATTAGAATAACGTCTTGGCATTTTATAAATGTGTTGGCTAGCTCTCTGTGTGAGGAATTCACCTCGGACTACTTGTAGGCAATAAACTGGCCTAAAACGTGCGGTTTTAGAAGGAGGGGTGTTTTTGGTTGAAAGCAGCTAGGATTAAATGTACGATATGTGCTTTTGCGGCACGTCCACTCAACAAAAGGAACATAAGGCACCGGTTTATGTGAAACACAAACATTTGAGAGTGGTTGAGATGTATTGAATGTTTCTTGGAGATATTGATGAGAAAATTGGCCATTTCTTTATTTCCTTTAAGCTACTCAATCTTTAGGTCCAAAAAATATAATGTAAACAGTGTGATACATTATATGAATATAAATGTATATATGTAAATATTTTCTAAATATATATTGTATGCGTGTGTATTTGTATATACATAATAAATATAGAGTACACACACATATTATGTAAACAAAAACTTTTTTTGGGATGTGATTAATTGCGATTAATCATTTGACAGCACTAATATATATATATATATATATATATATATATACATACAGTGCCTTCAAGTATTCAAGCCCCTTCTTTTTCTTTTTTTCTTGTTTTGCTATGTTGCAGCCATATGTTAAACTGCTTTAAATTACTTTTTTTTCCCACATCAATCTACACTCCATACACCATAATGACAAAGCAAATAACAGGTTATTAACGTCTTTGCAAATTTATTAAAGATAAACTTAAAAAACTTAAATAATTCCATTGCATAAATATTCATACCCTTATCTGGGACAGTTGAAATTTAGCTCAGGAGCATTCATTTTGTTTGTAAGTGTTTCCACACTTTGAGTGAAGCTAACCTGTGGCAAATTCAATTGAATGGGTATGATTTGGAAAGCTGAAAATGCATATTAGAGCAAAGACCAAGCCCTGAGGTAAAAAAAAAAAAAAAAAAAACTCAGAGAGCTCAGAGACAGGATTGCATCAAACCACACATCTGGGGAAGTGTTCAGAAAAAATTCTGCTGCATTGAAGGTTCACAGACGCATGTAGCCTCCATTATCCTTAATGGAAGATGTTTGGAACAACCAGGACTCTTCCTAGAGCTGGCCTCCTTGCCAAACTTAGCAACTGATGGAGAAGGGCTTTGGTTAGCATGGTGACCAAGAACCTGATGGTCACTCTAGTTGAGCTCCATGATCATACGTGGAGATGGGAGAAACCTACAGAAGGACAAACATCACTGCAACACTCCACCGATCTGGGCTTTATGCCGGTGTGGCCAAACTCAATCCTCTACTCAGTGAAGACACATGAAAACACACTTGGAATTTGCAAAAAAAAAGCACCTAAAGGACCCTCAGACTGTGAGAAACAAGATTCTCTGGTCCAATGAACCTCAATTCTAAGCATCGTGTTTGAAGGAAATCAGGCACTGCTCATCACCTGCAGAGTAGCATCCCAAAAGTAAAGTGTGTTGGTAGCAGCCTCATGCTGTGGGGCTGTTTTTCAGCAGCAGGGACTGAGGAGCTCGTCAGAGTAGAAGAAAAGCTCAATGCACCAACATATAGATAGTCTTAATGAAAACCCAGTCCAGAGCATTCAGAAGCTCAGATTGGTCCGAAGGTTCACCTTCCAACAGGACAATGAACCTAAGCACACAGCAAGAGTGGCTTAGACAGCTCTGTGAATGTCCTTGAGAGGCCCAGCCAGTGCCTGGGCTTGAACCCAATCAAATATTTCTGGAGAAACCTGAAAATGTGTGTCTGCCCCCATCCAACCTGACAGAGCTTGAGAGATGAAGAGAATGGCAGATAATTGCCAAATGCTGATGAGCAAAGCTTGTCGCATCATGCCCAAAAAGACTTGAGGCTGTAAAGGTGCTTCAGCTAAGTACTGAGTGAAATGTAATACTTATGAAATGTACTCATTTCAGTTTTTTTATTTTTTTATACATTTGCAAAGTTTATAAGTCTGTTTTTGCTTTGTCATTATGGTGTATGGAGTGTAGATTGATGTGGGAAAAAAGTAATTTAAAGCAGTTTAACATAAGGCAGCAACATAACAAAACATGAAAAAAACGAAGGGGTTTGAATACTTTTACAAGGCAATGTGTATATATATATATATATATATAAAATCTAGAACTGTTCGTATGATTCAATACCAAAAGACAAACAAAAAGATTTGAGCTTCACTGTTTATTGCAGTGGTTTCTGAAATGCCATGCTTTGCATTATACTTAATTTCTCCATTATTCAATAGCAGGTTTTCAATCACTACAATTTATAGTTTTATATACGTATAAAATTAGATGAATTAACACTGTGCACTTCCTTGGTGGTCTAGGACTTCATAACCACACAATAGTGGTTTATCCATACAAAAGGACTTATAAAACAACATTTTATACATTTTGATTACATTATAGATTTTCTTTCGCTTTATTATTTATTGTATTGTGCAAACTTTTCTTAATTAAAAATACATTATTTTGTATATGCAAAAAATATTAACATTCATATGATCTACAATAGAAAAATCACCACACAGGCATTAGACAGTGTTTTTGCTAATTATGGCCACAGTGATTCATTTGGGAAATGTTTAAATTAATACTTCTTTAGTATGCACAAATTTCAATCATATTATTAAAATGTCATTATGGACAATAAACAGGAATGTTTTAGAGCTGCTGTGTCCAAGCTTTGTAGCCACTTCAGTTAAAAGAAAAAAAAATCTTATGGGCTGGGCACTTCTTCTAAGTGGAAAGTTGAGAATTATTTACTTTGGAGTCAACTATTAATCTTAGCATGCCTACCTCTAACTCACTAAGCTGGGTTTATTTCCTTAAGATGACAGCGCTAGAGCTCAGTAATAGACTAGTTTGACCATAAACCTCTAGTTTGGCACTAACTTTCTCACAAAGGCATAAAAGCAGATGGTGACACCAAAGGCTTGGACAAATACAGCAGACTGCTTAAGGCCACAGAGGTGCATTGTGCTCGAGTCTAACAGTGTACTTCAGCTGTGGTGCAAGTCCTCAAGGTTGTTGTGCAATCACGCTTTTCCCATAGCCTGCTGGTTTCCTGGGATTTTCCTGGTCAGGAAGGCATGAACGTGAGGCCATATCTTGTTGGTTTCAGTTCCTGAGAAGGTCTCCAACACTCCTTTACTCCTGTTCAAGTACAAAGAGAGAGAAGATCATATGCAATGACCTAAACACATCATTCATATTAAATGACACCGTCAGTCCAGCTTAAAGGAATCGTTCTACCTCATCGTCATCATCCCAAAATCTCAGATAAATTATTTTTTTCCTTTGACCGGACATTGGAGAACCAGTGACAATTGATGTAACATGGGGTTTCCTAGACAGGGGCTTATGAGTTGATGAAACGGTAAGTTTTCAGTGTTTCAAGCCTCTCGGTTCACAGTAAGCACTCTGCTTGTGAATTTAACATGTATTTTGGATTGCAACATGCGCTAGGTTCAGTTTATTTACACATTTGCATCATTTACAGCATTTTTGTGGGCAGTAGTTTACAGCATTTCTGTAATATTCCACCTTAATAAAACCTCAAGGACTGATCCGTTAAAAGAGTTTGGTTGTTTGAAATACTGTTTGAAAGAATTGAAGACATAAATACAGAGTTCTGGCATGAAACTCTAGATGGCGCAGTCTGATAGATCTAACTCAGTATGACATAATGACATCATCATCACGTCACAGCTGATTGGTTCTCTCCAGTATCAGTAGCCAATGAGCTCGCTGCTCAACATTCAAATACTTGTCAAGACCAAATACATTAACATTGTCATGTACATTACCACGCAAATCCCTCAGAGAGTTGTCATGACAGAAATATATTAGCATTGTAACTTGTAAATAAAATTTTAATTGTGTTATCAAATAATTATTTTTTATGCTACAGTATAATTGTATTTTACAACAGTAATACAGAGTTAAAACCTTATTAGTAGTAGTAGTATGTTTTAACTAATTATACAATTACTATTTTAACTAATTATACAATTATTATCATTATTACTATTTTATTCAGTTTGATTTAAAGTATCACAACTAAAAAGAGGTCTGAGTCTGAAAAATGATATATTTTATCTATATATTCTCTGACATCAAAGAATTGTGAGCATGCAAATATGTCGTTAAATGATTGAAGTGTTAACTTAAAATCCCAAACTCTTTATAAATATTTTACGTGTAAGGGTTTCAGCTGATGTATTGACATCAAACCTGCTGCACATATTTAGATGCTCCATAATTTAATGTGCAAAAAGGCAAATGAGATTTGAGGAAGATTTTCTGAAAACAAAATAAAAAACGTAAATTTTGGTCTCTTCCTTGCATAATTGCTTTCATATGGCTAATAATATTGTGTAGAAGATGTCTGGACTACTTTTATGTTATTCTGTGGTTCTTGTGTCCTTTTTAGAGATCAGCAGCCTCGCTTTCATTGTATGGAAAAGAGCAGCATTAACCTGCTGCTAAATATCTTCTTTTTGCTTCCACATAAGAAAGAAATTCTTCCCGATCTAGAATCATATGAGTGTGAAAGGATGACAGACCATGGGTGAACTATTCCTTTAATAACCCCTAAGCATTTTCTTCTGTGTGTGTTATTGAATTCTTTCATTCAACATAAATCATAAAGAAAACACGTGTGTAAAACAGCTCTAAAGTGCTGTGGTTCCTGTACAGTACCTGTAATACTCTAGAACTGGTTGTGTCTGTCTCTCATAGTCCTTGAGTCTCCTGGACACAGTTTCAGGACTGTCATCGTCTCTCTGGACCAGCGGTTCTCCTGTGACATCATCAAGACCCTGTGCACAACACAGACCACATCACTGCAGGCCTCCACCACAAAGAGCCCACTTTCAAATGTGCCATAATCACCCAATTAAAACTACTGTATCTCAGGAATTCATGTATTGAAAGTGTCAACAATCTTTGGCAGTCGCTGATAAGTTCCAGAGCTGAACGGAGGTGACCTTGAGGCGCACAGTTTTGTGTTGACATAAGCTTGAGCTGTATTTGAGCAACGCTGACAAACACGGTTTCACACTGGGCTTGAGCTGTATTAGTTTAGCACATGCTCAACTGCTGTCTTTAAAGAATGATAGCAAAGAGGACCAAAATGTAACAAGTAGGAAACAGTTTTGTGTCACAAAAACGAAACTCACTGGCTTTGTTGCAGTAGACAGAAGAACATGTTTTATAACATCTTGAATATAAACAGCTATTCTTTGTTCAGTTTTACTTTCTATAAAACTCTACTCTCAGAAGTTAAACTATCTTTTAAAATACTGCAAAAACTATTTAAGCAACATTTTTCTGGCCTTGTGACTCATTTTTTTTCTCTGACAGTGTTTGATAAATGGACAGGAACTCCAGGACTTCCTCTGCCTGCTCCAGTTTTATTGCATGGATGAAAGCAAAGTTCCTTGAATAATTCCTTAGTAAACAGAAGTGTTCATATCTGTCTTGAGTGCCAGGTTGGGAAATAGCATGACCTACTTTCACCACAGGAACTCTTTGGACTCCTTACAAGTTTAACACAGATTTTACACAGAGTTCAATGCTTAGTTTTTACGTTTTACAGCTCTAATGATTATTATTACTTTATACTTTTATTTTATTATACAGTATTTAATGAAAGACTATTTGTGGGGTGTGTGTGGGTGTGTGTGTGTGTATACACACATATATATACATATACATATAGTAGCCTATATTTCTATATTATATATAAAGTACTTGAAAGTTTCAAAGTAGACACATTGAAATCTGTACTTGCAAATACAAATACAATATGGACTTTTTATTGAAATAAAAGTCCAATTAAGTGTCCTTAAAGAGTGTTTCTTTACACACTAATAATATCAAATTACTAGTGTATGTTTTCTTTAAAAAAAATAATTAAAACAAATTGCTTCATTTAAAAGTACATTTTAGATCATCATAATTTTTAGTTGTTCTTTAAAGAAGTGCATTTATTTTGATGTGTTGACTAACATACTAAATCACATTTAAAGTACTCGATTATAATTTCAACTGTTGCGTTATTTGATATTACATGTAAAGTTCATATATTTTAAGCGTATGGAATTGCAACTTGTTAAATGACATTAAAGTATATTTTAGTTTTCCATATGCTTGTCAGTACATTCAACAGTTCACTTTAACCATATTTTAAAGACAAGTATATGTACTTAAGTTAATTTTAAGTTTGATTAACCTGCAATTAAGCGTCCAAAATATTACCTTCACTAAGGTCATACTTTTAAAGTATATTATTTGCATAACAAGTGCTCTTGATAAAAGAAGTGTCCTTTATCCCATTTTTTAGGCATTCTGCATGAATTCACTCCAATTCAGCACAAAAATCAATTACTAATAACTAAACAATATCTACTTAAACAATCCAGTTTAACCAGGTTAATGTTAGTCTTTTTAGAAAAAACACACCTCTTTTATGCCTTATTCACAAAACTCAACACTATTTACCTGATGCTACTAACGCTTCACTATTATTGCCTGTGGAAAATATGCATTTTGGACTCACTGGTTTCTTAGGCGGGTTGAAGTCTGTATTATAGACCCTGCCGCTGGGAAGGTGCACCCAGCGAGAGGTCAGGCGCTCTCGGATCGTCTGGAAAGGCACGTCCAGGTTTATAAGAGAGTCCACATCGTACACGCTGTCCAGGGCTTCGGCCTGAGCCACAGTACGAGGAAACCCTGCCGGGACAATGTGAAGGTGACCTCGATTAAACTGCACAGTTCATCAGTAACATGGCTCAGGTGAGCGGGGTGAGAGTTACCGTCCAGAAGCCAGCTGCTCTGCTCCAGACCCCTCAGACTGGACAGGATGAGACGAGAGATAACATCATCGGGAACCAGCTGACCCTGATCGATGCACGACTTCATCAGGACACCCAAATCTGTGCAGGTGCAGAAGAGCTCATCAGTAATTCAGCAAGGACAGAAGAAATTCAGACATGAATAGAGTAAAAAAAAAATCTGAAAATATTATTTTAATTTTTTATTAGTTTATTTATTATTAATACATTTTATTTATTACCATTAGATTACTATTAATTAATTTTTAATTAATAATAAAATATTTACAGGGATATAATGCATCTGCCAATCATCACAAATAAATAAATAAATAAAAACATGTTGGTGTTAATTTTATTATTTGAAATACTGCCAAATGAATCAACAATGAACATTTAATTAAATTCACTGGTTCAAATATGAAGGCCGTCAGGTTTAACATCCTTGGCTTAAGAATCATAACCTTAGCTATTAACTATTAAAACTCCAATGAACATGACATGTGACCACTACAATGAGCTTGTAGTAACAGATATATGAACTTCAAGTGGCTCTACACATTGTAATAACTTTTTAATAATCGTCCTGTGACCCACTGCTAAATATTTTTAGGCCTATAATAACAAGGTTTGGAATAATTTTAAAGAAATTAATACTTTATTCAGGTGTTGAAAATTAAGGAATTTATTACATAATATATGGCATAAAATATAATTACAAAAACAATTACATTATTAAAATAAACAACAGTTATTTTAAATTAGAATATTTTTTCACAAGAATACTGATTTACTATATTTAAAAACAATTCAAAAGTCTTACCGACCCAAATGTTTAAGTAGCAGTTAAGTTTTTCTACCATAATATTTCATTTTTTTCACAGTTCACTTAAATAGTTCTGCGATGGACAATATCAGTACAGATAATTAATGTATCCCAGTTAATATGACATCCCAAAAAATCTGCATGCATACAAATTATTCAAAAATATGGTTGGATTAAGCAATTCTTGAAATATAAAATGCTGAAAATGTACTTAGTTCAATCAAAAATGAATATTCTGTCCTCGTTTACTCACCCTCTTGGCGTTTCATTCCTCTGTGGAACACAACAAGAAGATATTTCGAGAAATGTCTCAATGTTTTTTGTCCATCCAATGGAAGTCAAAGGTAAACAAAACTGTTTGTTCACCAGCATTCTTCAAAGCATCTTCTTTTGTGTTACACAGATGTCATGCAGGTTTTGACGACATGAGGGCAACTAAACACTTGACATTTTGGGGTGAACTGTCCCTTTAAGGTCTTACTTTAAGTTGTAACTGTACAGTATATGGTGCATGAAACTCACATTTAAATATTTCTCTCCTGCAGCTCCATATCTGGCTAAATTCATATGCAGTCTATATGGTTCATTTGTTGGTCATTTGTTTATGCTGTATCTGGACTAGTCTGACTTAGGGCTGTCAAAAAAAATATTCGAATTTCGAATATTCGTCCAATGAAAAAAAAAATCCACATTCGAATTTTAGGTCTGCGTCAGCCGTCAGGCAGCCTTATCAGTGGCGCACTGTGACGAGAGGTGCGGCGCCGAGAGCCGTGGGAACGGAGCGAGGCCGGTGGAGTAAATGCTAATGCACGACACCTGCGCCTCTCACCGGTCTCGAGTCCCACGGAGGAGCTCCGGAAGGATAAAAGGAGGAGTGACGACAGTGTTGGACGAGAGAGGACCAGGCCTGGAGTTTATTTTGTGTTTTGTGTGCGGCAGTCGTCCGCGAGGGGCTGCCACTTTACTTTCATTTTGTGTTTGTTTGTTTATTAAAGTGTTAAATGTTCGCTGGTTCCCGCCTCCTTCTTCCCGTGACTACGAACTTTGTTACACGCACGAAATGCAACGTCGATGCAAGTGTCATTGCATTTGAATGCTTTTGTTAGCCTATCCAGTTGAACCCACTAGATGCGGCGCACAAGAGCATCAGTGTGGCGAAGATGTTGTTTACCACGAAACTGAAACCAAGCCGTTCACACAGAACGCATATTTATCACATTCTCTAGAGGGACATCTATCAGCGTTGCACTCGCGTCTCGCACAAGAGAGCGGCATGTTTAGAAAGCCATGTAAAATTAATGTCAATTCAACTTTTAAAAATCATATCTCAAGACGTTATGGCGGGTTTTCCCCATCCCACTGCATCTCATGTTTTTAAATGAAGAAAGTAGCCTACTTTTGTGATTGGTTTTCGATCCTTTGTATTAAACTATACATACATGCATGGTGCTGTTTTTTTTCTCTAATTGTTTAAGCAACTTTATTAATTATATATGGTTTATAAACATTATTTTAAAGGGGTCATATGACGCGATTTCAAGTTTTCCTTTCTCTTTGGAGTGTTACAAGCTGATTGTGCATAGATAAGATCCCTGAAGTTGCAAAGACTAAAGTCTCAAAACCAAAGAGATATTCTTTATCAAAGTTAAGACTCTGCCACGCCCCCCTAAACGGCTCGTTCTAACACGCCCCCACATATCTACCTCACTATGTGGAAATATTAGCATAATGCCGCCCAAATGTGCACGCAAAGAAAGAAGGCGTGGTTTCAGTAACCGCAGTTAGTGTTGAAGCAGCATGTCAGGGAGACGCTGTGTGTTTCTAGGCGAAAGCAAAAGCACTTTATTTGGCCTTCCGAAAGTAGATGCATTTAGGAATCTTTAAGATCACTTACAACAGAACAGCAATGCATTTTATGGACGACCGTTTCGTGAACCTAGGAGAGGAGGTAATTCTGACTTTGCTATGACAATCTGGCACTTCTGAATCAGCTACTGTTTTGTTATTAGTTTAAGTATTTGCTACTGACTGTTCAAATGCGGAGTT